TTATTCGCTACCATCAATTCAACAATAAAACATATCTTTATTTCATTTCTCATCTAAAATCATTGGGATGACAAAGCAATTAAAATTGTTTGAACTGGAATCATAAAAAAACAATTACACATTGCTGAACAAACATTCACACTAATTGCTAAACGCCTAAAATCCAGCAGAAAAGCCAGTAATAGTATCAGTATCAAACATATATTCGTCAAATTTTCTTCCAAGATAATCAACTAAAAGAAACATCAAACCCTGCACTCGACATTGAACGCTGTAACAACTAATGTCCAAATTTCAAAATTTGCAGCAAAATCAAATGCTAATCAAATATATCATCGCAATTTCAAAATATTAAACAAAATCACTGACCTTTATAATTTCAAAACTATCATTTGGAAGCAATTTCTTTTTATCAACTATAAAACAAAAAGGCACAAAATTCAATCCACAACGTCAAAACACACCTAAACATAACAAGAACCCTAAAAAACCGCTAAAATCAACAAAATCAAATGAAACATTGAAATCCACTCCTAAAATTGAAAAATTCAAAAACCCTAAATAAAACACCAAAAAACCAATCAATCAACCAAACACACAGCAGATCTATCACAAATTACATCCAAAATCAAATTCCACAACCAAAAAAAAAATACAAAAAAAAAAAAAAAACATAACAAAAGAGAGAAAAAAGTTAGTTACCTCAACACAACACAAAGTGTTCCTGTATAAAATGACGAGAAATTAGGGTTGATAACAACAGCACCTTAGAAAGCAAAAACCTAAACCCTGAAAACCCTAATTGAGTGGTATTATGAAGATTTTGAGAGGAGAGAAAGAATCGAAGAAGGTGAAGGAGGAGAGAGAAAATGAAGGGGCAGAGAAGAGAGAGAAAGAGGAGGAGGTAGAAGACGATGAAAATATATAAAGAGGAGAGAGAAAAAGAGGGTATTTCGAATGTGTCGAAGAAGCGGGAGGAGGTGGTTGTTTGTGGTTTTGTGGGAACAACGAGAGGTATTGCTGCCCGTTCTGCCCGTTTTACCCCAATAAACCCTAGAATTTCAAATTTAGCACCGGTCATATTTTTTTTTTTTTGAGTAGGGCTATTTTAGATATTTGGGTCCAATTTTTAGGGGTTTTGATGAGATGGTTCAAATCTTTTGACTTTAAAATTTGTTTTTGAATTATCTATGAGACTATGAGGATCAATAATGACATTTTTTTTTTCTAAATATGTGGTGTAATAGAAGTACTATAAAGATTATTGGATGAAATAAACTTATTTATTATTTTATTATTATTTTCTTTTTAGTTTTTTTTTTAAAAAAAACATACCGGAGAAACTTATATAGATGACAATGTATCAAAAAGTACACACAGAGAGATTTCTGGGGGGCAACATTCAACCCACACTTGTTCAACCCCAAACGGAATAAACTTAGCAAGGTGATGCGCAACGAAGTTGCCATCCCTTTTAACATGAGACCAAATTACATTATCAAACACACTACAAATTTCAAGAATCTCCCCAAGTGCAGTATCCAGCTCTGAAAGAAAAACAGCTCCTTGTTCAAGTCGTTTGGAAAGAGATGGGCAATCCGTTTCGAGGATGATTTTCATGAAACCTTGCTGCTTACTCAGTCTAGCCATATGAATAAAAGAGGAGTTAGTTGGGCAATGCTCAACTAACAAGTGAATAATTGTTTCCGAATCAATGGACAATTATTAGTCACGCCTATGTCCACCATTCCAAGCCAGTCCTTGAATCACACCTAGCTAACAACTCTGCCTTGTTTTTCAAAAAAAAAAAAAAGTGTTGGAGCACACATCACAATTTGTGGCAAAGACGACTTTATAAAGAACATTCGTAATGTTAATAATGAACATGATAATAATATAATATAATGAACATTATTTTTTTATTACCTCGCATGATCCAAAGCAAAATTTTATTGAACATTACAAAATAAATGAACATTATGTGGTAGCTAAAGTATACAGATGCGACCCCCAACCCACGGGGGGAGCACTGAAGTGGGTCAACCTCTTTTTGGCTTCGGCCAAGGCTATTGCATCCTTTGCCTTAATGAAAATGATCAGCCTGAAAAAGAGCCCCCTGTCTTTCTTGACTATAAAGCAATGTGGTGTCAAACTTCTGAAAAGTCATCGCTGGACCAGTTATTTCATCTTTCATTTCTGGTTAGCTTTCTCGTCTTTTAAGCAAATAAAAGGAATCTTGTAAGATAATATATGAGTATGGATTCTTTCGATTTCTAAAGGTCTAGTTGGAACAAAGGCAGGACCGTGGACATTCCTCTACAATCGACGGACCGACCAATGAATAACATAGAAAAAGAAGATACATTTCAGTAGTTCATTCACCCCCTCTTCTCGCCGCCAGGCGAAGGGAAGACGGAAGAAGGTCTCCGAAAGCCCTGTATCCAGCTTTAAGAAGATATTGCAATTTCAATCAAATAACATGGATCTTTAAAATAGTTTATCAAAAGATCTAATAAACCTACGGAGTATATCATTATATTAAATAATAAAGGGACATAAAGAAAGAACATAACGTAAATAATTAATTATTGTACAACATTAAATCATATAATACATTATTTTTTTGATAAATAACATCATTAAATCATATAAAGAACATTTCAAGAAATAAGATGACCATAAGATAAATATTACAACTAAACATAACAAATTTAAAATAAATGACGAAAAATATAATTGATTTTTAAGAGTTTTTTTTTTTAAAAAAAGGAAATAATTAAAATAAAATAATTTGAAAATTGAAATTGTGAGAATGAAATCTAAATTTTGAATTTGAAAATGAAAACTTAGAATATTTTTGGGAGAAATAATTGTAAATAGAGAAATTATGAAAACTTGAATATTCTGAAATCCGACATAAGGTGTGTTTTTGCCAATAAATAAATAAATAAAAAATAAAAGTTAAGGTGTGTTCTAGCAAACAAAAAATTTATAAGACGATTTCTTAAAAAAAAAATTGTGTTTTGCATGGAGGTTTTTGATAAATTTTCCTTTATTTTACTATAGTGAATATTTCTATGGTACACTAAGCATGTAGGGATTAATTATCTAATCAACTTAATATATGGTGTAGGATTAATATTGAGAACATATGGTTATGATTAAAAATACTAATGCGTCAATGACTAGAATGTCATTATATGCATTTCGTATAAAAGAATAATTATATCTATCTTTAGTAATATATAAAGAGAAAAGACTTTTTGGGTGATAAATTTCACTATCCCCAAATTGTCCTTCTCAATTTTCAATATTACCTCTTTTATTGATGATTAAAATAAAAAATTAAGTATCAAATATTATTTGTTATAAAAAATAAAAAATAAAAAAATAAACTACCTTATCATAACTGCTCCCACACATCCTTAAAAAAATAATAAAAAAAAAACTGCTCCTACCCCTATAAAAAGGAAAATTGGAAAAGAATAATCTCACCTTTGTCCAGTCTTCCAAAAACAATCCCAGCTTTAATTATTCTAGAAATAATCTCACCTTTGTCCAGTCTTCCAAAAACAATCTCAGCTTTAATTATTCTAGAAATAATCTCACCTTCACCCCTCATCTTCTTTTAACGGTCCTTTTGAGCTACAACTTGTTTTACATGTTAAGTTTTTTTTTTTAAAAAAAAATAATTTTGTTTTGCTCTTTATTCTTAATTCTCCCTCCTCTCCACAACCACCGTACCACTGACACCACCAACATCCCCACCGTCGCCACCTTGAATTAGAACATTCACGTCACCTATCTTTTTCCTACCACTCCACATTCAAACCCACACATAATCCCACCCTTTAAAGTTTAAACACCATAACCCCCCAAAAAGCTCATGTCTAGCCAACTACAATAACCCCACCCATCAATTCTGCAACACATATTAACTCTCCTTCCTCGCTAATACCAATCAAGCAGCCCTAAATTGTTGTTGCAACTCTACTCATCACTATATCAAATCACACAAAATCAAATAAATTATACAATTCATCCAATTAAATACATTTTTTTTAGTTATTGAGGAGATAGTTTATAATAATTGAAGGCAAAAGCTTCAAAATTAAACTATTTTTTTCTTAATTGGGGTCGACTTGCTCATGTTGGGAGGTGTTTTAGGGATTTTGTTGTTGTTGGTTTGTTGTTGTCGTGAGACGGGGTGGTTGGATGGTGGTTGTCAATATTAGAGTCAGTTTTGGTGTATTTATGTTAATATTGTACTTATGTTAAGTTTATCTTGTTAGGTTTCCTATTGTATTGTATATATATGTGTGTGTGTGTGTTAATTAATGCAAAGGCTAAGCCGTTTTCTCCAAGATTTCTCTATTTTAACATAGTATCACAACCTCCCTAATTTCTAGAGATTTTTTTTCGATCCTTGGTTTGTTTTCAAATCAATTCCGCAAATTAATTTGTTTGTAAGATTAGGCTTCGATTTTTTTAAGAATTAATTCTATAATTTTTTATTTTAATTTGGACTATATTATGGTTTTAAAATTCCCTAATTTTTTGTTCGTTGACTGTGGTTAAGTTTTGGTTCGTTTAGGTGTTGCGTTTGTGGTGCTCGGTGTATGTGTGTGTGGTGTGCATCTACTTGCGTGCTGCTGTTCATTTTGTGCGGTGTGCTGCGCGCTGCTGTTTTGTAGTGCATGTGTGCGTGGTTATGTTGCTGCATGATGTGGGTGTGTTTGGTGTGTTTTTGCTTCTTGTGTGGTGCGGTGGTGCAGTCTGTGTAGTGCTGCAGTTTGTTGCAAGCTGCGAGTGTGTGCGGTCTGCTATTGTGTGGTGCGTGCTCGTGTGTGTGGTGCGTGCTAGTGCAGTCTGTGTGTGTTGGTGTTGCTGTTGTCTTGTTGTTGCACAACAGTGAGTGTGTGTGTGTGTTGCGTTCGTCGTGTACGTGGTGCGTGTCTCTTGTTTCGTGTTGTGTGGTTATGTGCTCCTAATTTGGTGTGATGGTTGGCGACGATTTAACTCCTCTTCCTCCAAAGTACGAGCCGTTAACTGATTATTACCTTCATCCGAGTGAGGGTTCTCAATTGGCGATTTGTCCTGTGTTGCATACCGTCGACAACTATCAAAAGTGGTCGAGATCGATTCGCAACAACCTTCGTTCCAAGAGCAAGCTTGGGTTTGTAGATGGTTCTATTGTCATGCCAGACGTTAAACATCCCGAGTATCGTTAGTGGGGTATTGTTAATTCTACTGTTGTTGCTTGGATTTATAATACTCTTAATGTTAGTATTTGTTCTACTGTCATTATTCCTGATGATGCTAAAACTTTATGGGATGATTTATGTGATCGTTATTCTCTTGGTAATGGCCCTCGTATTTTTGAATTGAAACATGATTTTAATGATTGCAAGCAACGAGATCGTTCTGTTGTAGTTTATTATGGTGAATTGAATAAATTGCAGAATTTGTTGTCTAGTTATGTGAAATTTCCTGATTGTTCTTGTTCCGCTGCGAAAGAATATACTAAGTTGCATGAGAATGAGTCGTTGCATCAGTTTTGTCTTGGTTTGGAACCTAAGAAGTTTGATTTTGTTGTGTCTACTTTGTGTGATGAGTGATCCTTTGCCTTCTATGAATGTTGCTTATGCTAAGGTTATTGCTGATGAGCGTAAGCAATCTGTGTCTGAGGCACATGAGACCTCTTCTTCCTTTGCAACTGTTGGTTTCAATGACACAGGTATGGCTTCCGGCCGAACTTCCGAATGGATAAAGTGTACTTATTATAAGAATTCTGGTGATGATAAGGACCACTGTTTTGAGCTTCATGGCTTCCCGAGTGGGGGCGTGGAGGTCGTGGTGGTCGTGGAGGTCAGTCATCTGGTAAGGGCAAGGTTCAATTTGCTAGTGATGCTAGTAGCTCTCGTGGTAATAACGTCTCAAGGCTCGTTTGGTTGTTCATGGAAACCGACAAGTTAAAGGTGTTGATTATAATGAGACGTTTGCTCCTGTTGCAAAGACGAGTATGGTACAATTTTATTAGTTGTTGCTGTGTCATTGAATTGGGAGTCACATCAAATGGATGTCCATAATGCATTTCTTCATGGTGATTTGGATAAAGAAGTATATATGCAGTTTCCTCCAGGGTACGGTACTCCAAAACCTGGCAAAGTTTATAGGTTGCGGAAGTCTTTATATGGCTTGAAACAGGTCCCGAGATAGTGGTTTTCGAAGTTGTCTAGTGCACTGCGAGGTTTTGGTTTTAAAAACTCATATGCTAATTACTCTCTATTTAGCTATGTTCAAGGCAGTGTTTCTTTGCATGTTCTTGTCTATGTCAATGATTTGATCATTGCAGGCTCTTCTCATGATGCTATTGTTCGATTTGAAGCCTATTTGTACAAATGCTTCTATATGAAGGATTTGGGTCTGCTTAAGTATTTCTCAGGCATTATGGTTGCTCAGAGTTCCGATCCGAGGGCATCTTTCTTTCTCAACAAAAGTATGCTCTAGATATTTTGACTGAAGCAAGGATGTTGGGTTGTAAACCCATTGACACTCCGATGGAGCAGAATCATCGTCTTGCACATGCTTCCGGTGAGTCGTTTGCTAAACCGGAGCAGTATCGTCGTTTGGTCGGACGATTGGTGTATTTATCGGTCACTCGACCAGAGTTGAGTTATTCAGTGCATGTTTTGGCACAATGTTTGAGAACTCAACAGGTTTCTCATTGGGATGAGGCCATTCGTGTCTAGCGCTATCTTAAGGGTAGTTCGGGATAAGGTATTTTGTTGCGACCTATGAAGGATTTACGCTTGACGACGTTTTGTGACAGTGATTGGGCGGCGTGGTCGTTGACTCCGCGTTCCTTGTCAAGTTAGTTTGTTTTCTTAGGTCGTTCCCCTGTTTCTTGGAAGACTAAGAAACAACCTACCATATCCACATCATCGACTGAAGCCGAATACTGGTCTATGGCATTCACTACTCGTGAGTTGAAATGGTTGAAGTAGTTGTTGTTTGTTCTCGGCGTTAATCATTCTAAGCCTACGTAGTTGTTTGTGGTAATTAGTCAGCCCTGCGTATAGCTAAGAAACTGGTATTTCATAAGCGTACGAAGCATATTGAGGTAGATTGTCATTTTGTTCGTGATAAGTTGATAAACGGTCATATTTCTACCTCATATGTTTCGACTGGTCATCAATTGTACTACTAGAAAACAGGCCATTTCCGACGGAAAAATTCCGTCGGAAACACTCTAAAATTCGTCGGAAAACACTTTGTAGGAAAAAAGACCTTTTCCGTCGGAAATTCCTTCGGAAACGTGTTTTCGACGGACTTTTCTCTCGAAAGAACTACTCCGGCACCGGAATAGTCCGTTGTAAATTTCCGACGGAAAACAACTCCGTCGCAAATTTCCGACGGAATTTTTCGTCAGAAAGGTCAAAAAATAAAATAGATAAATAAAATCCACCCCTAAACCGTACCTATTCTCCGCCCACCACCACCATTAATATTAAACCCACCACCACCGCAATTCACCCCCACCACAACTGCAATTCTCCCACCACGACATAACCTCCCCCCAACAACGAACCCAGATCCACCACCGAAATCACCCCAGCCCACCACAACCGAAACCACCACCACCGATAACCCTAACCCACAGCGAAACCACCCCAACCAAACCCCACTACACTAAACCGAAACAACCAATTTAACCAAAATTAATTAAATTAACCAAAGCTTACACAAAAATTACCAAAAAAAATTGGCAACTAAAATTAGGCAAAAAAATCGAAAATTACCAAAACAAAACAACGAAATTACCCAATAAATTTAAAGAAATAAACAAATATACAATTATTTAACAAAATTTATAAACTAAAATTACAATGAAATTAAAAATAACTATTTTCAAACTTAAAAAAAAACAACTAGATCTGGATGTTGTTAAGTCGTTGTTGTTGTTGTCCGTTGTTGTTGTAAGGATGTTATGGTTGTGCGTTGTTGTTGCAGCTGTGTTGTTGTAGTTTCCGATATTGTTGTTGTTGTTGCGCCGGTGTTGTGGGCAGGTGTGGTTAGAGATAGGAGGGGAAGAAAGAAAGATGTGGTGGTGGTGGTTTGAGATCGAAGGGAAAGAAGAACAAAAGATAGGAGAGAAGGAAGAGGCCAAAAAGAGAAGAGGAAAGAGGAAAGATGGAGAAAAGAAACAGAGAATAGGAGAGAGAAAGATAGGAGGCGGAAAGAGAAAGTGGGTAGGGATGCATTAGGGATTTAGGGTTTTATTATTTTAAATTATTTTTTTAAAAAATACATTCCGAGTCAGAAATTTCCGACGGATTTAAATTCCGTCGGAAATAGTAATTTGCGACGGAAATATCCATCGGAAAGTGCATATTTTCCGACGGATTTATATTCCGTCGGAAATTACCGATGGATTTCTGACCGAATTATTAAATTTGTCGGAAATATCCGACGAAGTATAAATCCGTCAGAAATTTTGGTTTTTTCGGCGGAATAACGTGTTCGTCGGAACTCGTCCGTCGGAAATGACCTGCTTTCTAATAGTGTTGGCAGATATTCTCACCAAGGCTCTTGGACGACAGCAGTTTGGTTTTCTGTCACGCAAGTTGGGCATTCGCGATTTGCATGCTCCAACTTGAAGGGGAGTATTAGAGTCGGTTTTGGTGTATTTATGTTAAGTTTATCTTGTTAGGTTTCCTATTGTATTGTATATATATATGTGTCAATTATCAATGCAAAGGCTAAGCCGTTTTCTCCAAGATTTCTCTACTTTAACAATCAATTTGTGGGGCAGCAATGGTACGGTGTATTTATGGAAGAGGGAGGGGAAGGTGGTTGGGAAGCCATGGAAGGAGGAAATGGAACAAGGCTAGGAGGGAAGGAGTTTTTTTTTTTTTTTTTTTTTCAATATTTTGACCAATAGAAAATCGACACGTGGTATGTTACCTTCTCCAATAGGTTACTAACCCATCAAAACTAGTCATAGCCTGTTAATAGAATATTGATGTCAAAGGTGGGATTGTTTTGAGAAGACCGGACAAAGGCGGGATTTTTAGTTTTAATTTTCCCCCTATAAAATTTGAAATTACTCTTAATTTTTTTTGTTGGAAAACTACTCTTGATTTTATTTTTTTCTTTTAAAGAATTGGCTTCAAAGGTTCAAACTTAAGCCAGACTGATAAAAGGCTTTAATTTTATTTTTTTATTTTAAATGAAACGAATAATAAAATCTACTCCATAAGTTCATCAACATTTTTTTATATAATTTTTTACAAATATATATATTTTTTTCTCATTGGCTTTTTAATTTACACCAACAAATATTTATCGTTTATTATTAGAATAAAGATGAGAATATAGTCTAATTAGTTTTTTATATTTCATATACACGCTTGTGTTTTTCTTACCTTATAGGGATTAATTTTAAGCATATAGGGATTAATTATATGTACCATTATAAATGCTAATTTTGAAAACAAGAACCACATATGAACCTACTTCGTATAAGATATTTTTTTTTTGAAACAACTTCGTATAAGAGATTTTGCACAACGTTGATGTGCATTAGTTGAAACTAGATTTAAAATTTCATCTCAAATTGCTCAATATAGTGTAAATACATTATATTTTCCATTAATATGGACATCTTACATTTCTTGACACTACAATGGTTACATACAATAATCTATTACATATGATTACTTATTTCTATCCCTGAGATAGGAGAACCTTTAGATTCGTGTATCTTGCCAGTTTAAATTTCTTTTTACTTCTTTCTTGGGCTAATTTGACGTTTCATGTTGGCATGAACGCGTCGCACTGGACTCTTAACACCACATAGTCTGTGTTTAGCGCGCCATGGAAAAAAGATTTGAAACCCACAACCTTTAGTTGAAGAGTATGCTTCCCCTGCTACTCTAGGAACACATGATCCATCCCTAAAATGATTGCTGTTCGAAAGCACCCCCATATATTTCTTATCACTACTAGGATGATTGTTTTTATCTTTGTTAGCTGCTAAAGCTGACAATGATGATGCAGCCAATGCAGTTGCTGCGGGAAGAAATCTTTGGATCATGAAATTTGGTGACAATGATCCATTATCTCCATTAAAATCACTCTCCAAATCGAGTCTTTCGCTAGTAGTTAATGACTCTGCTAGGGAGAACAAGTCTATAGCATCCGAAAAACTACCCCCATCATCATTGTTGTCGTTGTTGTTCTTCTTCTTGTCAACGTTGTCAGCTATACCTTCACCATAGTCTCCTTTGTCACCGTCTTTGTGGTTGGTTAATGTTGGCTCGTCTTCTTGCCAACGGATTGGAGGTGGTTTAGGAAGAGGCAAGACTTTATTACCTTCTTCCACACCATTATGATCACTTGTTATAGCATATTTAGGCTTGCCAGGACTCTGCTCCCATGAGAAGGGCACCCTATTAGAAAAACCACGTAGGGAGCCTGTACGCGATAGTTCTAAGCTAGATCTCATATCTCTAACAGTCGCCGGAGTAAAGTTAGATCGTCTGGTTGACAAGAGTGGAGCATTGAGATCTAACCTCCTCGGGCGTTTTGTATCAATGTCTTTCATATCTACTCTCTAAACTTACAGGATATATGTTGGGTTATGAACAAGTGATACTTTTGTTTGATCATGTTAAGTTTGAAGTATGATTTTTTGGGAGATATGAGAAATGGTAATGGTTGTTGGATGGATTTATTGTAAAGGAGTTTAAGCTGTGATTTCTCGTGCATTCAACTAAGTCTTTTTTAATTTTGTGTTTTTTGCTTTTGGCAAGTCACAGGTGGCTCAACAGGACCTCTACAAAAAAATTGTGGTTCAGAACTAAGTTGCTAATAATTTTGAGGTAGTGATGAAACCTTTTTAATACTAGTTTATATTGCCATGTTTTTCTAAAGATTATTAATGAATTACAATAATTACAAGAAAAAATAAATAAATAAATTAAAATAAAAAAGAGGACTTTGTAAACTCTTTGTAACTTTGTAAGTTTTACCAGTAAGGCAGTAACAATAACTTCAGGTTAAGAATAACTTTCTCAAAGGCTTGACTCTTTGAGTCTTGACTATGAAATAAGTCCAATCCGTAACTATGACAGCAAAGGAGTTGGTGTTAAAGTCTGATTATAGACAGACTGAAGGTGGAGCAGAGCTAGGTACGATTACGAGAAGAATGTTCAATGTAAGCAACACAGTTTATATGAAGTACAAACCTCCTTGTGTCATTCAAGGGGAGGAAAATCACCAATTCTCCAATGCAAAACAATACAAAGAGGATATTCATAATGTTACAACAGGACAGAAACCCTGTGTACAGCTGCCATCTACACAAAATTAAAATCCTCAGCTGCAGCATAAAACAAGCTGCAGCAGTGGGTTAAGTCGCTGCTATTCTCACAGCAACCAAGTCGATATAATATTTACATTTCGACTTGCCTCTTTCATCCTGTTTCCTCGAATTCAGATGTTCATTTCTCTTTTGAACACCTTATACATGAAGCCGGTAACCAATCTTTTAACATATTTGCAAATGCCAACTGGTAATGGTGGCCCAATTTCTTATCATTGAAATGCTCTTGAAGCATAGTTGAGGGTGCCAGGAATGTCAGGTGCATCTTTTCTGTTCATGGAATCACATCTGCTAAGTTGTTCATCAGAAATTCGTTCTCGGGCCTCACTATAAAGCTTTAGTGTATCTACATGGGTGGGATCAAGAGAAAGAGCTGCTTCACAATCTCGAAGTGTGGCAGCATTGTTGCCCATAGAGTCGTGAAATGCAGCTCGAAGATGGAGTAGCTGCAAGTCTGGTTTGAAGAAAATAGCTTTTGATAGTTCTGCTATTGCCTCCTCTTCTTTGTGGTCATCCATTAGTACTGCAGGTAATTAAACAGTTAATAAAAGAACAAAACAGGTTTTTAAAGCATCCAAGCAATGATGACACAGTCGATCAAATTCTCCCTCCACAATGAAATTCACTTTTTTTTTTTCCCTATTTCACTTTCAATAGTGAATTACAATGGAGTAAAATAAATGCAGAATTATGAGTCCACCACAAATAGTAAGGTAAAGCTTTGCTGAGCTACTTCTACACAACTGCAATGCAAACTAATCCAAGTTGAATTTCCAAACATTGAGAGTTTTATAATGCAGGTAACTATATCGACAAAAAACATCATACAAGCCTGACCAGACAATAAAGAAGTATAGATGTGCTATTTGAAATCTTTCCAAGCTCCAAGAATTTTTTCAATAAAACATATTGACATGTTGAAATGACATGGTGCTTTAATCAAGATTCCAGAGGCTTGAACAGATTATTGTGTTCAGAACTCTGGTTATATGATATTGTGATGGGTATTCAATACCAAGAAAGTTTAACAATGTTCACGTAATTTTGGTGCTTATACATGCCTACATGGATATTTTTCTTAAAAAAATGATGTAAAAAAAGGGTTGACATGCAGTGTTATCAACTTATCAACTATTTACAGCACTGTAGTATCTGGTACTCAAACATTGGCTCAATCTATCACTTCTTATCCTTAAATTAGGGAGAGGCGGATAGCCAGTGCCTTTGATGGATAAACATTCAGCTACCTGACCTCCTTCCTCTCAAACAATTGGGGGAATTACAATGTCATGTATGGAGCTGCACTTCTGTCTTTGTATGATACAAAGTACAAAACAAAATTGATAATTATAAATTAAGAACAAGATGTAGTAAATGATAAAGTCAGGACTCAGGAGGGGAAAAAAACAAATCATTTGAAGTGGATGTAATGGAATGGCTGATGAAGTGTGAATTTTTCACACACACAAGCCAAAAAAAGAAAAGAAAAGAAAAAAACACATAAATCGGCTTTCAATCATCTATATGCATAACAAAAAATGCACCACCTATCATGATGTGAAGGTGTTTAATACTATTAATCTACATCAGCTCGCAAGCCCAATATTTTAGTGCAATTATTTAGAAGAAACAAGGATGGCCCCTTCCCCAAATTAATAAACATTAACACAATTATTGTAGAATAGCTCAACATTAATGCCCAATCCACATTCTTCTCTCTACTTTGTCATGCAAATACTTCTCTCTTTGTTTGTTTGGTCCTTTTCTACATATTGTGACAATTGTGGGAGGACCAATTATAGCAAAGAAAGGGGATGCAATGGAAGGGATACATTCTAACGCAGTGAGTCATTGTACGTGACGGACTAACAGATAATGTCACAAGAACAACATTATTTCAATTGCACCTATATATATTTGTTGGAATAGTTGAGTTTTAATCCCTATCAACAAAATTTCACTTTGATAGTTGCAAACTTCAATGAGTTCAATTAAGGTGATTATTTAAGAAGAAAATATGAAGAGACCAAAAGATATAACCTTTAAATATTAGGGGAAAAAAAACAGAGAAAAGAAAGAATAAGATAATTAGTAAACGCACCAGCTGCCCTGTATCTATATGGATATGTCCTCAGGGGGTCAAGTTGTGTTGCCATGGTAAGATCTCTCTTTGCCATTTCACGGTCACAATATTCTGAACGTTTCTCGTAAGCTGATGCGTTGTTCCTGGCTTTTTCTATCAACTTTGTCATCTCATCATATGCAGCTTTTCGCTGATTTTTGACATGATAGACCCTTGCTAGACCTTGATGTGCTCTGGTGTGCTTAATGTTAAGAGCATTCATGTAGCAATCAGCAGCAAGATCCAGCTTTTCACAGTCTACATAGACACTACCTAAATTATTTAAAGCCTGCAGAAAAGCAGATCTGGGTGAATAACAGCATTATGGATTAAATCATAAGACCAACAGGTGTTTCAATAATATACATACTTGTCCTTTACGTAAACCATCTGAAGGACATCTAAGAGCTTCCTCCAGGAGATGGATAACATAAGATGAAGACTCCTCATCAAGGTTTGAATCTGCCAAAGCATATGCTTTCAAGAAAAATGCTTCAAATGATCTTTGGATGGTGATGGACTCTTCAGCCTTTGCTAAAGCTTCTTCACGATGGCCTGTATCATATAAGATCCACCCTTCATAAACGAGCCTTTCATGGTCAGAAGTGGAACAGTTCCGTGCCAATCGTAAACTACGCATTGCAGCCTTCTGGCAATTTAACCTGTCAATTATGTTTCAGGAAATAGGGAAAAGACTCGTCAGGGTACATTTAGCAGCAATAGAGGGTGTAAGAGTAAAATTTAGAACAAAATTCACATAAATTCAGTAAAATTTAGAACAAATTCACATAATTTCACAATTTTGCAGTAATACTTGGCATAATTTCAATCGCATAATCCCTTTTGGTCCTTAAGACAATTTACTCTTCACTGTCTACAGGAGTTCAGGATGGTAAGCACAGAATTCTATCAGGGTTTTCCCTTCCTGGAATACAAGATACCTCTAACTGAGAGAAACAGTCTAATTGAGAGATAAAAATAAATCATGTACCTCACATCTAAACAAAAAACAATAACAGATTCCACCAACAAAAGTAGTGACATCCAGAACACTGAATACTGGAGTATTTAATTAACAAAACCAGCAGCATGACATGTAAATAAGAACTTTGCTTCAACAATCAGAGGCAGAGCAAGATAGATGAAAACACTAACTAAAGGTTATCAAAAGGAAGTGGCAAAATTTGCACAGGGAACCTTTAGCAGCAATAAAGGATGTCGGTTTGCATGGTAGTTTGGGTAAGTCATAAACACACAATACTAGAAGATGGTGTAGAAGGACAAGAGAACGTAAGGGAAAAGTCAAAGGATGAGACGACCAAAACAAAAGCTATAAATCACGAGGTGTAAATATGGATTAACATGGCACCAATGTGGAGGTTACCAGAGCAGACAAGGTATGAAACTCCATATAGAGCTTAGATAATTCCAGGTCAAAATTTTGAAAGGATTCCACTTCAGAAAGTCCCTTATGTTATAGTTCCTAAAATAAACTATTATCTATCTACCTACGTTACCCTGTGATTTCTCTCTACGCTTACAGCAATAGGAAAAAATATATTAGAAAACAGAAATGTTAAACGAATGTAAAGCAGTCTTCAGAATTGAGCACTTGCAAAAGAGATTGTGATTCACAACATTGGCCACAAGGTTAACAGATGTCTAAAAATGGCTAATGAGTAGACAAATCACAAAGAAGATTTATATTGATATCTGCAGAAAACTTTACTAAGCTTAACTTCCTCTTATAAAAACAGAAAATAGTGGACAAACTTTCAAGGTATGTAGTATGTACTCACCGCAGGAGAAGGAGAGATTGTCGAAATCGAAGGAGACTTTTCCCTGGATCATTTGCTAGCATATGGTGCACAACAGCTAGAGATCCAATATCATCTACGGAGGACCATCTATCATACAATTGCATCCAGCAATCAGCCTGACTCCACTGCTGGACATGAGAGCGAAGGAGCTCTACCAACTGCTCTCCAGGCAGTTTTCCATGGAACATCATGTAGTCTGGGTCCAAAGTCAAAAGTGCACGGAGGTCTCTGAGAGCACCTTCATAATCTTCAAAACCAATAGAAAACCAAGCCCGCAACTCAAGGCAGTCTGGAGTGACCTTGAAACCGATAATTTTATTAATTTCAGAGATGGCTGCTCCTAATTTATTATCTTCTAAAAGCGCAATCGCTCTGTACTTGTAAGGAAATGATAAGGTTGGATCCAATTCCGACGCCTTCTCAAGATCTGCCAGTCTCTCCTTCCCTACACAATATAACGACCGTTCCTGATACATCCACCCAGAGGGCTTGTTATCAGAGATTAATGAGTTCATCAGTTTGTACGCTGTGTACTTGTGTCCACGTTTATACTTTGTCCTAGCAATACCAGCTATCGAATAAACATGACCTGCTTCAGCAGCTGCCTCAAACG